TTTCTTCTCGAGATTCTCAGGTTTAATACTGTAAGCTAAGGTTACATTTTCACCGAAGAAGACAGTTTTAAAGTGAGCTGACACAGCTGGAGTACAGCTTGCTGCCTACAGCAGAGTGTAGTCATCTGCTGTGCCTGCAGCCTTGATCCTGATGACATGCTTTCAAAGCCTTATTAAGAATGCCTGGGTCCCCATGAAATCTGCTAGACCCAGGTTTACCTGAAAATTTGGGTAGGAATCAGGCTAGTGACCTTCTAAAATCAGAAGTCCTAATAAAAGACATAAACTGTTAACTAAATTCAGAGTTTAGTTAAAAACCAAGCAATAAACATCCACATTAGCCCACCCTGCACATGCCCATGGCCATCATTAACTGCTCCCTGAGTTCACTCAAAATGAGTCATGTTGGCTAAGGTTAAGCAAACTGTGTTAGGTGGGAACACAGAACATAGCTGTACACTTATCTAAGTACCATTTACAATGTGGCATCAATAAATGTATCTGAGACGCACTCCTCTCAAAAGGGTATGCTAATGCTTGGCCCCTACTCACTCACCCAAACAACTTTGGGCCCTACAAACTCCATGCATGGTGTGTGATCTAAAAAGACACACTACTTATTTTCTATCTATTATATTTTCATGGTACTTTTTTATTTTTAGCTATGTTTAGACTCAGAAGCACCTACCACTGCATAATTATCTCCATTACTCATTATAGTAGCATGTTATACAAGTTTGTATAGCCTTGGAGCACACACATTCATAAAAATTATTTTGTAAACAAAAAAGGGAACCTTAAAGGAAATATTTATTTTCTTTTTGTTGTGACTAAAACACCTGGCAAGAAACAACTTCACTGAAGAGGTCTGCTTTGGCTGGTGTTTGAGGGATACAGTCCATTATGGTGGAGAAGGCATGGTTGTAGGTGGCTCCTTGGCAATGGAAGCCTGTGGCAACTGCTTGAAGAACATAGAGCAGAGAAGGGGGAGTGCTGGTGTGTACCTGGCTCTCTCTTCTTATTAGGTCAGCCCCCACCCGCAGCCAATGGATGGTGCCAATCACATCAGAGTAGGTCTTTCTTCCTCAGTTAATCCTTCCTGGAAAAGTGTGTCTCCTAGGTGATTCTAAATCCTGTCAGATTAATAATATTACTTTTTGTCCTATTAGGGTTACTGTTTCTATGATGAAACACTATGACCAAAAGCAAGTTGGGGAATAAAGAAAATGCCCTACAGACTTGCTTGCAGCCGTATCTAACAGAAAATTGTTCTCAACTGAGGCTCCCTTTGATAGGATTACTCTAGCTTGTGTCTAGTTGCATAAAACTAGCCAGTAAAACTTCACAGGAGGCTATACGTGAGTATACTTAAGAAACAAACATGAAAATGTAACTCATGACACAATATGCCTCATCTAAACGATTCCAAGGTATTCAAGTGCCTGTCCTTAATTTTGGCTGATTTTCCCCCATGGCTTTTCTCTTTTGTTTAGTCTCAATTGTGCTTAATACATTAACTGTGTAGAGTCCACTTATACTGTCATCACATACTTTTGTTTGTGTATATGGTCAAGTATATATAAATATACAGATAAGTAAATAAGCTAAAATTTAAAATTTAGACTATAGAACCTAGGTTGGGCTCTAGGAAGTAAAGGTGAATTATGTTAAATTTATGTAACTCTCACAAAAACAGAAGTGTCAATTAGGTTTTTATTAATCCCACTACTGTTTCCAGTCCAGTTTCTCTGAAGCCAATAGCATGCTGAAATTTGGTATCGTTCCACAGAATGGTGGGCCAAAACACAAAAACCACCTTGGAAACCTGCCATTACTGGCTCTTCAGAGTGCTTTTCTTGAACATTCTACTCTAGGCCAAACGAATTCTCTGTGACAGTATGTCAGATCAATTTATGGCTGGATGTGCATCATATGCTATCTTTAGTGATGCCTAATTTTTATAGCTGATATAAGAGGTGCAATTTCAATGAGAGAGAGAGAGAGAGAGAGAGAGAGAGAGAGAGAGAGAACCCTAATGCATGTAATATGTGTACTAAAGAAAGAATTAAAACCACTTCTTTGCTGGGCTATGGTGGCCCAGGCCTTTAATCCCAGCACTGGGAAGGCAGAGATAGGTAAATCTTGTTTGAGGTCAGCAGGGTCTATAGAGTGAGTTCAAGGATGGTCAGGGCTACACAGAGAAATCCTGTCTAGAAAAATACAAAACAAACCCCATGTCTTCTTCAAGTAGGCTGAATGTCTTTTCTAAATCATTATTCAGCAACATTCAAATGTGGTTTACAGCTGTGTTCCACAGGTGCTTCACAGGCGAGTGTGGATCAAAGCAACAGCCTTAGTACACTGGTGAACACATCAGACAACTCTAAAAATGTATTTTTGAATTGTATCATTAACTATAATTTGAGAATATAGAAAATGCTGCCAGGTTGTCTCCCTTTTTTTTTTTTTTTTAAAAAAAAATGAGGGGATAAATCAACCTTTTAAGTGAAAAGTACTACTTATACCCTCCATATATTAAAAATGATATTTCCTTGTATAAAGATGTTTGCTGCCTGATAAACATGTGTACTGCAATGTGAAGATTGGCCTATGTCTACAGGATTATACAATAATTAAAGTATAAAGTACTTTAAAGAAAAAAACATAATTGGGCATGGTCATGCCTTTAATTCTAGTCCTTGGGAGGTCTAGAGGAAAGAAAATCAGAAGTTCAAGACTTTCCTATGAGAGGTGAGTGGGACAAGAGGGTAAGAGGGAGGTGCAGAAGAACGAATATATGAATGAATACACAATGAATGAATGAATGAATGAATAAATGAATGAATGAGCGTATGAACCTAGAGAATAGGAGAGGACACTTCCAAACCATGTAAGGGACTTATATCCAGAAAAGAGAACCTAACTTTAAAATGAGCAAAGAATCTGAAAACTTTCAAAAGTATATATATATATACACACACACACACACATCACACATTTATATGTGTGTGTGACCAGTAAGAACACAAAAAAAGTTCAATATCATTAATTATTAAATCAATACAGGCACAATAACATAGCAATTTTTTTGTTTGTATGTTTTAAGACAGGGTCTTCTTATGTAGCCCTGGGTGGCTTAGAACTTTCTACGTAGACCAAAGTTAGCCTCAAATTCACAAAGACTTGCCTACCTCTGCCTCCTGTGTGTTGGGAATACAGGAACAGTTTTTAAAAGACAGAAAATAATGTGTTGGTGACACACATAAAGACAGGAACCTTTGTGCATTAGTGCTAAGACTTTAAATCAAATCTTTAGAAAGCAGGTTAGTGGCTTCTCAAAAACTTAAACACAGTGAGCATAGGCCTAGCAGTCCCGCCCTGAGGTCTAATTACAGGCATTACCATGCCCACACAAAAAAATCACAGTGAATGCTCACATAATAACTTGTATATAAATGTTCATAATAGCAAACAGACCAAAGGTGGAAATAGGCCAACTGTCTGACCATCAATTGAAGAAAAATAAAGTATGACATATTTATAGTAAAATGTTATTTGGCAATAAAAATTCTCTAATATGGACTAGTCCTGAAAATACTACACTAAATCATAGAAAGTAGTCACAAAAGGTTATAGTTTATATGAAATATATAGAATAAGTAAAGTCATAGAAAGTACATAGCTGCTGCCCTTAAGAACTGAGGAAAGAGTGACTGCTAATGAACAGGGCGTCTGTTGGGGCACAAGCACTTTAAAGGTGCTTTTCGTGGTCAGAGGTGGCTCAGTGCAACACTTGTTACTCTTGCAAAGGTTCAGTTCCCAGTACCCACATGATGATTCACAAACCAACGTTCATTTCTGACCTCCTTGGGCACTGATCAAACATGTGATAGTCACATACAGATGCATAGAAACATTCACAAAATACATTTTAAAAAGAAAAAGGTGTCTTTTATAAAACATGAATCACATTTCAATAAAACTGTTAAGAAAAACAACCAAATAAAAATCTATGATTTTTCAACTAGCATACTTTTCAAAGCAACTAGATGACAGTCTCAGCAGGCGCCACCACTGATTGCAGGACTGTAACAGAACGGTTCTAAGTTCCCTCTGGAGTCCTCTGGCTGACACTAAAACTGTAAATGTGGATTTGTAAAAACAACTTAATTCTGGGAAGTTGTTTCCCCTAAACACATGGCTCCTTTGAAAAGAACTGAATGTGCTACAGAGTTCTAATTCCTATGTTCTCTGTGCCTGTTCACCCTTTGTCCATAAAAGGACTTGCGTCTATCCTTTTAGATTTGAACTGTGGACTCCAAAGTATGGGCTTCAAACTCCTTTATATCCTAGCTCAAACATATTTAAACTAAAGGGCATTAGAATCACAACTGTAGAGGTAGCAGTCAGGAATGATAATCCCACACGCCTGTCAAATGAGAACGCACTGAGCTAAACTGGTCTACTCCAGAAATATATGTTATCTGATTCTATTAAATTTTAAGATAGGATCAAATGCTTAAGAAGTTACCTGTTGCTTTGTAAAAAAAAATCAGTTTAAATCTTCACACTGACTAAAATGAATGGCAATAAGAAATTGGTTCAAATAAATAACCAAAAAAAAATCTATTACATATCTTATTCAATATCAGTTGGTTTAACTACCTTGATACCAATAGGAGAAAGAATTTTTTCAAAAATAAGAAGTTTACTATAAGAAGTTCGGCTAAAGTTGGATATGAACCTTAAGTCTGGCCATCAACAACACATTCTTACATTTGCCATCTCAGCTCTAAGGTGCATCTGCTGAATGGACAGTCTTCGTCAGATGGCGTTCCTTCATAGTATTCCTTACGTGTAATTTATTTCATTATTTCTATCTTCCTGAGAATGAAAACGACTGCACCCTAGCAAACTAAACCAACTGTCTTACAAGTGCTGACGGCGCAGAATTCTTAGGTCCGCGGATGAGGGACTTACAGTCACCTCGAGTTCCATACCTGGAATGCATTGTGCAGTAGCTTCAGTCGTTATGGTTGGAGCAACAGGGGGCTGCTGTTGACTGGAGCTCACTTCAGGCTCTGTGTTAACAGAGGGAGAAAGGGCTATCTCACAAGATGAGACCTGGCTAGGCAAATGGGGCAGGAACTCCTCCGAAGCAACTTGCTCATCCTGTCCAGGCAGCTGCAGGGCAGACAAAGGAATACTGATCTGTTTGTTAGGATGTGATGTGCTCACAGGCATCTGCATGGTCACCTGGTGGGCAGTGCCATGGGCACCAGGGGGTCCTCTGTTTGGTGAAGCCAGAGATACCCTAGCAGTCTTTGGGATGATCGGTCTGGAGATCACAGAGGGGGATGCTGACATAATGTGTGGGTCTAATTCCGTGTTGATGGCAGATGTTACATGGGGAATCAGTTTAGCAGACCCTATACAGGAGGGGCCAGCATGAGTCTGGGGCTTGGGTTTTGCCATCTGTGTCAATGAAAGGGCTGGTCCATCTACTCCTCCAGTCAGCTCTGCATTTGCCACAATGTAATAATCTTCTGGAATCTCTTGCTTGATTTTCTTGATGATGACATCATTACTACATTCATCAACCATCTGTCCCTGGGAACTTGAATGGATGGCAGATGGGACTATTCCTGGTCTTTTGCGAGCAATGCTTTGAGGCCTCTGGGTTTGGGGTTCAAAGTCACTGTCCTCATCTGTAACAGAAGACTCACAAACCATGTCAAACAGCGTGTTCTCATCTTCATACTCCTCGACAGCTTCATCTAGTTCAGAGGGCTCACTGCAGTAAGAGAAGTCACAAGAGTCTCTGGTCCGGTTGCAGTCCAGCTTTGCCTTCACAGGTCTCCCAGGGTACCTTTCCACAGGGCTAGTCTGTGTCTCGGAAGGCACCCCAATTATACTGGGACTATCAGAATTAAAACTTCGGTTGTCCTGGAAACAAACCCTCTCTTGGGACCCAGCTCTGCAAGTAGCTGTTAGTGGCCAGTGGTACGCATGGCCAGCACTACAGCCCCACATTGCAGTCAGGTTCCCATGGGAACCTTCAGAAAGCAAGTGTTTCAGGTTTGGAATGAGGCTGCAAATGGTCCCATGGCTGTGGGCCCAGCTGACCAATTTGGACAGATTCTCAGATGAGGTATGAAGACAATCCTCCATGTTATAGGATCAGCAGTGTCTTTCCTAAAGGGAAATAATCAAAATGAAAAACTGTTATTACCCAAGACACTCCCACATCACAGTTCATTTTTTTTTCCAATTCTAATCATTTGGAATAAAAAAGGAAATGTGCCTGTAAGCTGCACATAGCTACCATCACTGCATAGGAACAAGGGATGGGAAGGGGAGACAGCCAGCTGGCCACACAGGATAGTTTCAAGAGAATATTGTTAGCTTCCTTTATCACTACAATTCCTGCAAATAAAGAAAGAAACAATGAAGAGAAAAGCGGGGCAGCGAGCAGGGGTGTGTTTCCTCATGCTGTATTCTCTTCCCGTTGTGACAGGAGGCTCATTTGCTCAGTCCTTCAGAAAACGTGTGCACTATTTGCATTAGCCAAGAGAACTGCTCTTCAACGTCATCATCTAGTAAATATCATTACTGGCGGCAGAGCTGCAAACAAAGTGTGGATCCGTTGTAGGGTGATCCATTATCTCAGAGTGGGAAGGTCAAATCTGCTGGACACTAGAGAACAAGGCAATTGAGATCCACGGAGAGACTGAGGCACTAAACTTAGCAAGCAAACACTTTGAGGAAAAAGAAGAACAGAATAGAAAAATTTTTTCTGTGAGAGCAGGCAGTGCACAAAGCAGCAAGAACAGGCTCTCCAGCCACACAGCCCAGCCTTTCCACAGTCCTGAAATGACACCATTCATTTCAGTTAGAGGTAAAAAGCCTTCTGATGGCCCCAAGGATAGACAACTGAAACAGGATTAAATCATTCCTTAACCGGTAGGAATCAGAGGCTATAAGTCCTGGCTGGGTTCTAAGTAGGGACAGAAGGATGTGGAGGGAAAGTGCAAAGGGCATGTGGGGTCTTCAGATGATAGGAGAGCTAGATAGGGAGACACAAAGACCTCCATGCCTGTTTTATCTGCCCTGGTCATTCTCAAAAACTTAAACTGTCTTCACATGGTATTTTTCCATACCTCATATGGCTGATAAACTAGATGCTCAGCATTCTACAGTTACCAAGTGACTTGCCACTAAATACTAAAACCGAAGGATTTCTGGCTGGAAGAGTCAGTCCACTTATGTGTGAGATATGATTACACTAAACTAGTAGACAAGTTTCTAATGTTTTAACATCACCCTATATGGTAAGCAAGAGACATTCCGTGCACTATTAAACTCAAAATCTGAGACTCAGAAACAGATGTTCTAACATTAAGTCCAACACCATCTACAGGGTTGTTTTGTTTTTTTCAAGACAGGGTTTCTCCCTGTGTCCCTGGCTGTCCTGGAACTCACTCTGTAGACCATCCTGGCCTCAAACTCAGAGATTCACCTGCCTCTGCTTCTCTGGAGTACTGAGGTTAAAGTGTGTGTTCTCTGTGTGCTACCACTACCTGGCAATACTATTTCTTTTTCTTTCTTCTGTTTTTTGATTTTTGTCTTGTGCTCTTCGAGACTCTTTGGGTCTCTTTGTGTAGCTCTCAATGTCCTGGAACCAGCTCGGCAGACCAGGATGCACTAGAACTCACAGAGATCCCCCTGCTTCTGCCTCCTGAGTGCTGGAACTAAAGGTGTACATGGCTACTGCCAGCAGCTTCCAGCTACAGATTTGTACACCAATGATGTGAAATCACTTAATATTAATATTTATTAGTCAATTACTATTGTCAGGCCCTGTTATAGGGCCTGACATATAAGCAACCTAATTATTTAAATAATTATAATTTGATTTAGTGAATTAGATTAGTGCCTTAATTTTACAAATGAGAAGAAATTAAGGAGCTCACACAAAGTAAGTACCAGATCTAGTATTTGACCTTATGTTGTACGTCTTTATAACATTCTATCTCTGGCATTTTAAAAAGATTTGTTAAAATTAAGCGTGTGTGTGCCTGTGTGTGTAGGTATATGCATGTTGAGTGGTAGTGCCTTGGAGGCCAAAGACATCAGATTCTCCCAAAGCTGGAGTTATAGGTACCTGAGTCACCTGATATGGGTGCTGGGAACCAAATCTGGTTTCTCTGCAAGAGTAGTGCAGATTCTTAATCCCTAAGCCATCTCTCCAGCCTCAAAGGTATAAGCTGACTGGCTTCAAACTATGATCCTCTTGCCTCTACCTCTTCAGGGTATCTACCAGTGTGTACCAACATAACCAGCCAGCATAGTAACAGCAAAAGGATTTTGCCTCAAGTGTGGGTCACTGACATATTAATGTTGATTTGAATTTATGTTTGTTTTACAAATTTACTTAAGTTTAATTTGTTTAGATTTATGCCTGAATCAGAGCTATAACCTCCTATAGTTAAATTTATTTGTCTATAATTTTCAATATATTCTTTTCAATAAACTTATTTTGAAGCACCCAACTCAGCCTGCACCATTAATTCTGCCCTCATCATAGTGGGCTCACCACAAACCTCACCACAAACCAAGTGGGTTCACCATTGCTTTTCTTGTGAGAAGCCATACCAGACCTGGACCTAGAAACTTCTGTTAGGAGCAAACTGGGAAAGAGGCAGGCAAGCAGAGGTCAAACAAGAGCCAACAAGTATTTGGAGTAGTCCTCATCCTCAGTGTAAGGTTATCAGCCAGGCACTCACAGGATTTGGTGAAGCTGGGTAAAGGCGGACTGAAAACCTTCCAAGGACTTTCACCAGACTCCAGGTCTGAGGAACAGAGACAACATCAGCCTTCCTGTTACATTTCACAGGAAGGAGATGTTAAGAAGGCAGGGCTTGCAGGCACCAGGAGATTCTTTTTCTATAGGGAGACCCTGACTAGCTAGGGTTACTGCTAACTCTCTGTAGAGGGGCTCCAAACATCCTGGCAAGGAGCCTCTGTTGGAGCAGAGCCCATCTTCAGGCAGTAGCCAGGACTTGTTCCCACCCTCCAGCCTGAGCTGCCTTCTGGAACCTCAGCTCCTGCTCAGTGAAGTATTTGAGCAAATGCCTAGGAGCCACCTGGGCGAGCATTAGCTGCAAGGATCCCCAACTGGCATTGTCCTTTGAAGACTGAAGTCAGTCTCTTGCTTTTGCTTGGGTGATCTCCACTCAAAAGCAAAGTGTTCACTGAAATGGAACCAAGTAAAACGGTGTAAATATTTGGGGTTCCACAGACCATACTGAAGGAGACTGCCTTAAGAACCCAAGGACATGTTCTGGAGACTGGTTGCTCCTTGCTTGGCTCTGCACTATACACTTGTCCTGAAATACCACCCAGCCTTTGGCATAGTCCTTAATATATTTAGAATCCTTCTTTCCACAAAGCAGTCCTGAGCCACAAGCACTGTGGAATCAATGAGACCCAGGTACACACTGCCCAGCACTACCTGCTTCTTGCGGCCTCTGGCTCCTCCTGCTCCCCTTCAGCCTCTGTATCCAGCTGTCTCTTCGTGGTAGCAGATACATGGAAAGCTTGTCTTCATGTTGTGTATGTGCATATATTTGCATGTATGTGTGTGGTGTATGTACATGGATGTAATACATGACTGTGGGTGACAAAGACTGACACTGAGGGGCTTCCTCAATTGCTTCTCTATCCTATTTATTTTATTTATGTATATTGTCACTTTGTCTGCATGTATATCTGTGTACCACAACTGAACCTAAGTCCCCTGAAAGAGCAGCCAGTGCTCTTAATTGCTGAGCTATCTCTCCAGATCCTGTTCCCCCACCTCCTTTGAGACAGAGTCTCTCACTGAATCAGCTGGTTGATTTGGCTTGGCTCTCTAGCCAATGAACTACAGACATCCCCCTGTCTCCAGCACTAGGATTATAGGTGTATCATCACAGCTGGGTGCTAAGGATCCAAACTGAGGGCCTTACGCTTGTGCAGTGCAGCAGGTGCTTTACCACTGAGTCATTCCCCCAGCCCTTAACATGCCTTTACACATCAATATAACTGAACTATCAACCTTGAATTAAAGAGTGAGGGCAGACCACAGGATAATTTTTTCAATAGTTTAAGGAAAATTGTTTTTAAAGAAAATAATATTCAGATCTAAAAGCATTATGCCACTTTCCCCAAACCCAAGAAAGCTAGCTAGTAGTCAACCTGGAGTGAAAACCTAGCTGGCTTCCAGTTGGCATCAGATGCTTCAACCTGCTGGATAATCTTTACAAGTTCTAACTCTTTAAAGCCTTTTCTATGGCTTGTTTTAAAACTACCAGATCTCAGTTGCTCACAGATAAGATTTCTGCAACAAACTCATTTTTAAATGTTCTTCAGTAAAAGCTCTGATGGTTTTACTGGTAAATTCTAGGGAAAAGTAATTTTAAAATATGCAAATATTTGAAGAAAACAGCAACAACAACAACAAACCAGGAAGTTGGGCGCTGAGGCACATGCTTGTGATACCAGCAGTGGGGAGGCTGAAGAATGTAGGTTGTAAATTTGAGGCTAGCCTGGGCTGCATAGCAAAATCCTATTTCTAAGTAAATAAACAAGGAGTAGGATAGGGGAGGGAGGCAGTGGCACATACCTTTAATCCTAGAATTTAGGAGGCAGAGGTAGGAGGATCTCTAAGTTCAAGGCCAGTCTGGTCTATGGCGTGAGTTACAGGGCAGCCAAGGCTACATAGAGAAACCTTGTCTTGAAAAACCAAAAAAATAAATAAATAAAAAGAGAGGAGGGAGTACGCACTAGCTTTAAGGAGTAACCCTTATGGATGATGTTATTGTAATAAAGTTACAAATTATAACTACTTCCAAATGCTTGTGTAAAATTCCCTCACAAAGCATTAACAAAAGAAATCCAATAATGCAAATATAGGTAAGACATTGTCACTAAGCACCCAGGAGTGCAAGGCAGAACATTAAAAATAAACAGATAAATAAACAAACAAACAAACAAACATAATTCAATGTTTATAGGAGAAAATCCAAAAGAGCACTTTAACAAAAGCAGAAAAAGCATCCTCTTAGCAAACTGATAATGGTTGGGAAACCCCAATGGACAAAGTACATCTATGAACATATGTGGCCAAGATTTACATTTAATGTGGAAGAATG